GGGGGGGGCGTCGCCGGCGGCGGGGGCAGGTCCAAGGCCAGGGGCAGGGGCGAGGGCGAGGCCTGGGGCTCCGGAGGCAGCAGGAGTCCCGGGGGCCCCGAGCTGCCGGGGAACCAGACGCCCAGCCCTCGAGCCAGGCGCATGGCGGGGGAGGAGGGGGTCACCTCGGGCTCCACCAGAGGCGTCCTGCGGGGGTCGGAGGCTCGGTCTGAGGCCTGCTCTTTACGGGAGCCCCCGCCCGCAGACGGCTCCGACTGCACGTTCCCCATTCTCGAAGGAGGTCGGGGACTGTGGTCAAAAAAACTAGCGCCAGTCAGTCGGCGGGCTCTGCGGGGGCTCCACGGCTCGGGCTGCTCTCGGGCCGCCCCCGTCCGCATCGGTCTGCCCTGTCCTCCAAGATTCTCTCAGCTCGGGCCTCTCGCGTCTCCGGGTCCCCGATCCGTCATGGCCGCGCCCCCTTCCCCGTGGTCTCAAAGCCGCGGCGGACCTGGCTCTCGAACCCCGCTCCTCAGCGCGCTCGGGGGGCCAACCCTGACCCCTGGGCCCGTCAGGTTGGAAGCTCCAGACCACACTGGTGATGGTGATTGTGCCCGGGAGCCGGTGAGGAACTCAAGCTCGTCTCCCGACGCCGGTCTGACCGGTCCCGGAGGCCCGGGGCCCCGCCCCGCCCGCTGGTCCCGCCTCCGATTGTCAGAGAGTCGGGCCCCGCCCCACCCGGCCGGGCCCCCTGGGCCGCGGCCCCCCGGCCCCCGCCGTCCGCTCACCCACCGCCTCTCTCGGCCGCGCATCGGGCCCCCTCCCGCTCTCAGCCAACCCTCGGGCCGCCCCAACTCTTCCCGCTCGGCGTCGGGGACCGCGCTCGGCTCAGGCTCCACCCCTTCCCTCACGCCCCGCCCCGGCCCCTCCGCTCGGGGGACCCCACTCACCGACTCCTCCAGCCGACCAAAGCTCAGACCACGGCCCCGTGGGCCCAGGGCAGGGCGGGGAACGGCCGCAGCAGAAAATAACCGAAAAGAACGGGTGTGCGGGTGAAGGCAAGTGGGCGAGACGGCGAGGACGACCCCCGAGATCCTGGCCCCGCCCCCCTGCTCGAGGCCCCGCCCCCTGCGAGCCCGCCCGAGCGCGGCCCTTCGAACCTGGGTCGCCCGTGGAAAGACGGGGACGGCTTCCCAGGGGGCGGGCCCTCCTCCGTAAGCCCCGCCCCGCCGCGGCGCCCCCCCCCCCCCCCCCCCCCCCGCTCCGCCCCGCCCCGCCGCGGTGCCCCGCCCCTCCCCGCTCAGCCCCGCCCCCGGGAGCCGCCCACTGCGAACCCAGCTACGTAGCTCCTCCCTTCGGGCCTCCCCTCCGTCCTGACCCTCAGGAAATTAATCCCCGAGCTGCGCCCGGCCGAGCGCGGGCAGCACCCCTCTTCCCGACACCCCGTCTTCGCTCGCGCGTCTCGGGCGGGCCTTGGGTGACGCACCCTCCCCGCTCCTTCAGCCCCCAGACCTCCTCCTTACTCGGGCTCCAGGCCCCTCCCCTCCTCGAACCCTGCCAGGCGTCCTGCCCCTCCCGTTCAGAGCCGCGGACCACCTCGTCTCTAGAACCCTAAGGCCGGGGGCCCTGGCTCTGGCCCCCCTCACACCCTCGGGGACCAGCCGTTCGGAGAGAGTGGGGAAGTGGGGGGCTCCCTTCTGGGTCCCGCGGAAATGGGGGCCGCACGGGGTGTTCTTTGCAGCCCGAGCCGGGCTCTAGGACCCAGCGGGCGTGCACGCCCGCCTCGCTCCTACCCCTCCCCCAAGCCGCCCCCTCCCCCCCCACGTCTTCCAGGTTCCCCCTCCCTCCCCCCGCGCCCCGGCTCCCGGTGCCCGTCTCCAGCGCCGCCGGAGCCAGCGAGGGAGCGGGAGCCAACAGGAGGAGGCGGAGGAGGAGGAGGAGGCCGCGTCGCCGCCGCTCGGAGCCCGGCCGGAACCTCCCAGGCAGGTGCCCGGAGCGGCGAGGGGGCGGGGGGCTGATGGGACCGCCTGCCCGGGCGAGGGGGCGGCAGGGATACGGCTGCCCCCCCTGCCCGCCCCGGGCCCCGCGGACACCGCCTGGGAGAACAGGAGGGTGGGGGCCCCGGCTACGCGGCAGCCGTTCGGGGTGCCCGTCTCCGTTTGGGGGTCCTGGACTCCTTCCGAGGATGCCCCATTCACAAAATTCCTTCGCGGACCCTCGCCATTGAGGAACTCTGAGGGCTACTCTCCCCGGGAAAAGAGAGGTGTGGGGAACACAGGACACCCCGAGATCGCAGTGTCCCATCTCGGCTAGGCCTTTGGGGGGGGACCCCTGCCCTCTTTCCCTGCTTCACCTGTTGTTGGGGGAGGCGGGCGGACAAAGGAAGCGGTGTCACGTGACCGCTCATTCACAAAATCCCATCCCATTGAGAAAAGGGGGCTGGGGGCGCTGTGGCCGCCCCTTCCCCTCCTGAACGGCTGGGGAAACCCGGCAGCCTGCAGGTGGGGGAGGGGGCTAGAACTCGCTGCCTGGGTCCCTAAGGCTGGGGACTCCAGGGTCCCTGAGCCTGGGGACCGTGGGGCTGGCTGCTGACCCTGATTGCTGGGCGGAGGGTTCCAGCCCTTAAGCTGGGGGCGGGGTAAACTGTTTCTGAAGGATTGGGGCGGGGGTGAGGGGATGGATCATTATCTCCCCCCTCTCGGCTCTCTTCCTTGGCTTCCCTCAACTGAGACCGAAGGGAGCAGCCTGGTTTTTTGTGAATGAAATGCTCCTTGGATCCTTTCGGTTGCCGATTGGGTTGCTGGCTTCTCTGCCTCCATCTCCTTCTCGGCCTCTCTTTCTGGCCATTTCTGGTTCTCTCTTTGCTCCCTGCCCATCTCCCGGTTGCTGGGTGACTCAGTGAGCTTCGCATCCGGTCTCATTCATAAATCCGGGAAGGGGTGGGGGGGAAGAGCCAGGGTTTCTCACCCAGTTAGTGGCCTGGGCGACTGGGGTGCGGAGGCAGGGTTGGGGGCATTGGCGTGGAGTTGATGGGTCCAGAGAAAATACATATGCGCAGGAAGCCAGCTGTGAGGGGGGACAATGGGTGGGGCTATGGGTTTGTGATGGGAGGGAAGGAGACTGGGGTTGAGGGGCTGAGCAGCAGGGGGAGGGGAAGTGGCAGTCCCAGGCTCCGGGGGTGGGGGTGGGAAGAGATGCTGAAAAGGTGGGTATAGGGAGAGAAGGTGGGTGCGGACAAGGTAGGTGGTCACGGTGTCACCAAGAAGAAAGAAGCCATGATAGAAGAAAGTGGGCAAGGGCTTGGGGGTGCTGGTGGCCTGAGGGGGAGCTAAATCAGGAGGTAAGAGATAAAAGAGGAGGGCCGGGTTTGGGGGGAACACGAAAACCAGGGGCGAGATGGAGATGTGAGTTCACGGCCTGTGTTGTTCCTGCCCTCTGCCTCTTCCAGGTACATGGTGCGGGTCCGAGCCGTGGTGATGGCCCGAGATGACTCCAGTGGGGGCTGGCTGCCTGTGGGGGGCGGGGGCCTCAGCCAGGTGAGCGTATGTCGGGTCCGAGGGGCCAGGCCCGAGGGGGGGGCCCGCCAGGGGCACTACGTCATCCACGGGGAGCGGCTTCGGGACCAGAAAGTGAGCCACCCTGGGGTGTGGGAGTGGGATGAGCCCTGGGGAAGGAGGGATGGGGCCGGGGAGGGAGGGGCAAGGAGACGTCACTTTGTCCCTCTGCCACTGGGACTCAGAGTGGGCCCTGGTTTGTGATTTAAGAGCTGGGGCTTGGGGGCGGTGTGGGGTGTCAGGAAGCTTGTGTCCACTGCTTCTCTGGCTGTTCTAGCACAGCTACTTCGGTAGTAGCCTTTCTGTCCTGTTCCTGCTCCTCCTCCACCCCTGGCCTGTTCCACAGCGACCCAACTCCCACCATGTCCCTTCTGTGTCAGAACCAGCCTTGTTCACAGACGCTCACCAGGAGGCCCTCCACCAACTGGCCCTTGCCTGCCCTAAGTATCTGGAGCCATTCGTGGGGTGCGCTTAGAAGTGTCGATTATGGTGGACAGTCCTGTGCCGCGGGTTGCTTTTCCCAGCACTGTGGCAGGGGGATTGCGAAGTCCCAGGCCAGCCCAGGCTGGGGAAGAGCTGCCCCTCAGAGCAGGCCGTCAGGAACAGGGTAGAGGAAGCGCTGATGTCAGGACAGGACAGGGACCGACCGCCAGGGGTGGGTCAGCATCCACTGTGTGGACCGTGACTGTCTCTGGGTGTGTTCTCGGGGGATTTTTGAGGTATCCAAAGGGAATTAGCTGTAACAGTTTTGATATGTTCGGTAAAGTGTGAATACCCTTTTCTTCAGTCAAAAGAGGCATTTGGTGGGTTATGAGAAAAGGTGGTTTCTGTTTTGTTTTGTCTTAAGATTTGAGGTTCCTACTGGGACATCAGAGGGAGAAATTAGAAATTAGTGTAGACATCAAAGGCTTGGAGGAATACTGCAGAATCCGAGAAGCAACTGCTGCAACCAGGGTGCGGTGGGGTCTAGGCACACCTGGAGGTGGGAGCGAAGGCCTAGGGCTGGGGTGTGCACAGAGGCTGGGCTTGAAAGGCACAGGGGTGGCCAGGTCGTCTGACCTAGCCCCTACCCGCCCCTCAGACCACCCTGGAGTGTCCCCTGAGGCCAGGTTTGGTTTACAACAAAGTGAACCCTATCTTCCACCACTGGAGTCTGGGTGACTGCAAGTTCGGCCTGACGTTTCAAAGTCCTGCCGAGGCTGACGAGTTCCAGAAGAGCCTGCTGGCTGCGCTGGCTGCACTGAGCCGAGGTGAGCAGGGCAGGCACAGACCCTCGGCCTGGGGACAGACCTGGGGGACAGACGAGAAGCTGGGGTCTGGGGACTCACTTCTGCCTCTCTCCCTGCCCTAGGCTCGCTCACTCCCTCCTCTTCCTCTTCCTCCTCCTCCCCTTCCCAGGACACTGCAGAGACACCCTGCCCTCTGACGGTGAGTCTTGGGGGTCCCTCTCCCACGGGAAGGCAGGGGGTTGGTTCTCGTCTACACATATTTCGGAATATTTATTTGCTGTGTAGCTTGGCAAAAGGCCACATGCTAGGGGCACCACCAAATCAGGCCCAAACCGATGATGCCAATTCAGCCGTGGTTATTCTAGTTCTTCTGTCCTTTCACATATATTTATGAGTTTATTTTGAGATAGGGCCTAATGTACCCCAGGCCAGCCTCGAGCTCCGTATGTATCTGAGGATGACCTTGGATCCGGCCGTCTGGTGCTGAGTTTACTGGTGTGTGATGGGTGGCTCGCTTGCTCACTCTCTCTCTCTCCTTTTCTTTGGAGCGGGGGCAGGGCACAGGTTCTGCCTCTGGCCTAGGCTGTTCTGCAGCTCTGGATGCTTTCTGGGGTAGGATTTTAATGGTGCACCCCACACCCTGCTTAGTTTTGTTGTTCTGTTGTGATTCTTAGATTTGTTCAAGGGTTCTTACAAAGCACCTGGACCAGACGCTGTTTTGGGCACCAAGGGTAATATTACTTAGCAAAACAAACTTCTTTTTTTTTTTCTTGGTGCTCTACAGTGTGAAACAGAGAAAAAGAAACAAACGTTAAAATAAACACACGGACAAACAAATTGACAATTCCTTTTGTTTGTTGCTTTTTTTTTTGTTTTGTCGAGACAGGGTTTCTCTGTGTGGCCCTGGCTGTCCTGGAACTCACTCTGTAGACCAGGCTAGCCTCGAACTCAGAGATCCTCCTCCCTCCTCTGCTCCCGAGTGCTGGGATTAAAGGCATGTGCCACCAGCCTTCTCTGACTTGATAATTCTGTGTTCTGGTTACTGTCCAAGCTGCAGGCTTACAAACTTGGAGTCATCATTTGACTCTGTCGATTTTTTCACAGGGTCTTACTCCATGGCCCAGCTCATGTGACCCAGGGACAGATGGTGTGGGGTCTTATGTGCCCACTACACCTTTATCTTTTCCTTTATCTTGAGTGAGGGCACCGTACAGTGTTCTGAGTGAGGGGAGGGTGTGATCTCATCCCCGGCTCTGTCAGCGAAACTGATGATAGTGAGGAGAAGAGTGACAGGGAGATACTGATGGTTCCACTAGGCGCTGGAGTTAGCCTGGACCTCAGTGAGGGTCCTTCCGTGTCGGTCTCCCCAGGATGGGGTCACAGGTCCACCACATGCCAGACTGCCTCTTGTTTCTCCTGCTTCTCGGAGAATCGGTCACAATATTGGTTCTGCCTTCTTTAATTTTTTCTGTAATGTGTATGAGTGCTTTGCCTGTGTGTATGCCTGTGACCCGCTTGCCTGCCTGGTGCCCAGGGAGGCCTCACAAGGATGCTGGAGCACCCTGGGATGCTGTAACCCTGGGTTACGGCTTGTCGTGAGCTATCTGGGTGCTAGGACTCTAACCAGGATCCTCTGAAAGAGCGGCCAGTGCCTCTAACTGCTGAGCCATCTCTCAGCCCTCTTCCTTCCTCCCTCCCTGCCATTCTTTCTCAGTTTTGGGGCTTAAACTCTAGTGAAGTGCTCTACCACTGGGTCCAGCCCCAGCCCAGGTTCTTCTTTCTAAAGGACCAGAATCTGCTTCCTGCATAGGCGTGTCCAACCTTCCCTCCCAACTGAAAAATCTCCACAGCTTCTCCTCGTCGCTCTCTCCTGACCCCCTAGGATAACCCCCCAACACTAGGTGAGCGGGCGGAGGATCACTAAGGGTCTCTTATCAATGGCTGAGTCCGATCACACCCTTTGCCCACTCAGAACCTTCCCGTGGCTTCTCTGCTCTCGGTGGTACCTAAGGTCCACCGGGGCCGAGGCTGGCCTGCCCCTCACCGTGTTCTTGTCATACCAGACTCCTTGCTCTCATTGACAGGGTGGTTGCATCCCTGCCCTGGGGCCCTTCTGCCTAGAACAGTTCTTCAGATCTGATGCATTGTCTTTTCCTTTTGAGGTCTTTTTGGTGGCTTCACTGAGCAACCGATGTAAAATTGCAATTTTGGGCTGGGGGCGGGGGCTTGCTTAGTAGATCCCTGGCCTAGAGTGCACAGAGCCCTGGCTTTGGTTCCACAGCTAGCATTAGTGGTCCTAGCACTAGGGAGGTGCAGGAAGGAGGGGAGAGATTCAAGGTCATCCTTGGACTATGTTACAAGTTTGAGGCCATCTTGGAATATAAAAAACTTTCTCTGGCTGGATACGGTGACACACGAAGCACTTGGGAGGCAGAGGCAGTCAGATCTCTGGGTCTGAAGCCAACCTGGCCTACAGCCAGGGCCACATAGCTAAAAAAAAAAAAAAAAAAAAAAAACCACCAAAAAAAAACCAAAGTAAACCTTTGCTTCCCCCCCCCCCCCCCTTACAATCTCCAATGTCCCTCATCTGGTTCTAATCTCCACCTTCCAAGACAGTTTTGTTATCTGTTAATTTCTTATTCTTTCTCCATGCTGGTGTGTGAGCTAGCATGTCAGGCCACGGATCTTTCACTAGTTCCTTGCTTCATTCACCTCCAGTCCCTAAAACAGCACCTGGTTCAGTAAGCGGGTTGAATACATTGGTGAAATGATCATGAATGAGGCACGGAATATCCAGGTGCATTTTGGGAGTCGTTGAGAACACTGGGAGCAACAGAAGTAGTTCCTCAGGTAGAAGAGACTCTCAAGGTCACGAGGGTGGACGTGGCCCTCCAGCCAGCCACGCACAGTTCCTGTGTATGGGGCTCTTCTTCAGAGCTGGAAACCTCAACAGTGGCTTTCGTGTCTGGCGTGCTGTGGTGCTCAGGGAATGTAAAGCAAAGCAAAGGCTGTGAACAGAGGAGGTGGGAGCCAGGTCCGGGCTACAGAAACGGGAGCAGAGGGCCCGAGAAATGGGGCTTCGGCTAGCGGCCTGGCGTGGGTGAAGAAAGATGTCCACGTGGTGAAAATATCCTTTCGAGCTGTAGTGAAAATGAGGCAGGGATGTACTGGCTGGCCGAGGGAGTGGGATGTGGGGAAGGGAGAGGAAGGTGTGATGGTCGGTAGCTTGGTGACCTGAGCTGTTAGGAGTCTAGTGGAGATAATGCCGGAACCCACACATGTCCTTATGAGTAGGTACTGTGAGGACTCCCATTTTAAGCTCTGAGGGGAGCTCACACCTCCAGTCAGTGGCTGAGCAAGAGTCTGGGCCCAGGCCTCCTAGCTGCACAGCCCTTGCCCTCCATGGAAGGGAGGTCTGTATGTGAGGGCGTCCCTGGACTGAGGCCTCGCCAATCTCCCCCAGTCCCACGTGGACAGCGACTCCTCCAGTCACAGCCGCCAGGAGACGCCTCCCACAGCCGCGCCAGCGCCCATCGTCACAGTGGAGTCCGCGGCTGCCTTCCCGCCGGCCACGCCCCCCCAACGTCGGCGCTCCTCTGCTCAGGTGAGCCCTCGGTGGTGGGCCGGGGTAGAACCGGAGGCTCCCTAAAGCGGAGCGCAGCGGGAGCCCGGCTAATGAGAAGAAAGGCCGACTGACCCGAAGGCGGTCCTGGAATAGAGGCCTGGGCTGGAGCGCCGGCCTAGCACACGGAAAGGTGCTGGGTTCAATCCCCACTGCTGGGGCAGAAAGAAAGGCGCCTCGGTTGGTGGGAACGGCTCAGGGGCTTGGGGGATGGTGGGGACAGGCTTTCCAATGGGTTAGAAGATGCTGGAACTCTGGAAGGACCCTTTAAGATTGTTTACTTTATCCTGAGCTGCGAGACTGGGGTTTGAGTGTGACCAAACTGGGAGGTCAAAAGTCACAGGGTCTTTCAGGTGTGTGCTGGCTGCCGACGTGCCTCTGTCACTGCGGGCTGAGACGCTTGGAGGAGGACTAGGCCTCAAGCCTAAACCTCAAATCCAAGAGTTTGAGGGCAGCGACACAGTCCGCGTTGACGGATGCCTGTGACTGCATCCTGAGACCTTGGGTCGGACCTGGGTGGCCTGTGGAGACTGAGGGAGAGCTGCAAATGTCCCTAACCCGACCTCGCCCCTTGAATCTGCAGAGCTACCCTCCGCTCCTACCGTTCACTGGGATTCCCGAAGCCTCGGAGTCTCTGGCTGGAGCGGGGAGCCAGGGCTGGGGCGGCCGCGGCTACGAGGACTACCGTCGATCGGGACCGCCGCCACCTCTCGCCCTGTCGACCTGCGTCGTGCGCTTCGCCAAGACTGGTGCACTACGGGGTGCGGCCCTGGGTCCCCCAGTGTCACTCCCTGCCCCTCTGGCCGAGGCAGCACCCCCAGCACCTCCCGCCCGTCCACCCCCGGGCCCGGGCCCCACCCCTGCTCCGGCCAAGGCCTCCCCAGAGGCTGAGGAGGCTGCGCGCTGCGTGCACTGCCGAGCGCTCTTCCGCCGCAGAGCAGATGGGCGTGGCGGTCGCTGCGCGGAGGCCCCGGACCCAGGTCGCCTGCTAGTGCGCAGGCTCAGCTGCCTGTGGTGCGCCGAGAGCTTGCTGTACCACTGCCTGTCGGACGCCGAGGGCGACTTCTCGGACCCCTGCGCCTGTGAGCCAGGCCACCCACGCCCTGCGGCGCGCTGGGCTGCCCTGGCCGCGCTGTCCCTGGCGGTTCCCTGTCTCTGCTGCTACGCGCCCCTGCGCGCCTGTCACTGGGTCGCAGCGCGCTGTGGCTGTGCGGGCTGCGGGGGTCGCCACGAGGAGGCCGCTCGGTGAGGATCTTTGGGCTGGTTTGGAAATCCGAAGACCCAGAATGGAAGGTCCAGGACCCTGAACTTCATAGGAACCTAAAACTCAAACTTAGGTACATCTGAAACTTGGAGCTTGGATGGATTTGAGAGATCCCAGATCTGGTACCTGGACCCTAAACCTAGGACTGAGATCCCAGACCCAGCTTCATCAGGATGTCTGTCAGGTGGACCCCGGAGTCCTGAATTCCGGATTCTTCCTCCCGCTTCCCAGACTGGGCAGGCTCATAACATCTCCAAACATTGCATCTCAGAGGGCCCAGGAGCTCACATCCCTGAGACCCAGGGATCTTGGACCCCGACTCTGTCTAAATCCCCAGCCCAGCCCAGACCTCGGGTCATACTTGACATTGTAAACACTCATATTATGGCCCCCAGATTAGTCAGAAGTTGCTAGACCTGACCCCATAGCAAATGACTTAGACCTTACGACTAGAGGAGCCAGGATCACCCTGCATTTTCACCTGAGACCTGATAGTCCCACATCTAGATGTTTTTATAGCCCCGGGACCCAGAGACAGCAGGATGGCCTGACATCACCAGACACTGGCCTGAAGGCTCTCCACTCCTGTGCAGGTGACCCACAGATTCCCTAGCACCCCAGATTTAAAACGCACTAAGTCCTTAGATACTCTCAAATATGAGGTGTCTTCTGACCGAAATGACCTGGGAGGCCCTTTTCAGAGCTCAGCAAGGTCTAGCTATCAGACACCAAAATGCTTAGGGGGCCAGGAACCAAACCCCTGCCCCTCAAGCTGGCAGTTCTTGGGAACCTGGGTCTCATGGACGGACTGGGGTCCTGGTACCCTCAGATGTACGGCTGAAGGCCGCCAATGCTTTGGGCCCAAGGCACTGGTTTCTAGTGCTTAGCCTTCCGTTTTCCCTTAGGCCTGAGTTTTGGGACCCCGAATGTTCTGGAAACATTGGCTTCCTTCTGCCTGCATTTTCCAGTCTCCTCCAAGCTGGGTGAGAGCCTGGATCGGAGAAGATGTGGTGGTCATGGTAACCCAGGCCTCTCATCCCTTGACTCTTCCAGCTCTAGAGTGACTCCAAGATGCTTTAAGAGCACTGGGTCTAAGACTTGGATACCATTGACTCCCAGGTGTGGGGTTCAAGCCCCCACAATCTTGGGATTGTTCTTGGCCGGAGACCTTCATGCCAGAGACATTCAGCAACAAGATGCCCCAGGGCCTTAGCACCTCTAGGCTCCAGTTTTTCTAGAATTCAAAGTTCTTCTAGTCTGAAGAGGCCCCCAGATACCTCACAACCTGATCCTCCGAGTCCTGCCATCCAGGGACCCACAAAGCTAGAATGTCCCAGCAGTACCCCGATTCCCCTTTCTCTTTAGAGGAGGTGGGCGCTTGCAACATTGTGAATTCAGATTCCTGGAATCTGGGCCCTCCCCAAGACAATTTCCCCCTCCCACCTCTAGGGCCTGGTGGTGCCACAGAAGATTGTACACACCGAGCAGAGGCAGGCAGCTGCAAGGGCCACGCGCGGCCATCAGAGGAAGGCCTGCCCTTGCCTACTTTGCACAACAGTACTTTCGGGGGGGGAAAGCCGCCATCCCCTCCAACCACGCAGATGTCTTTCCCGTGCTGTAACCCCGAATTCATTCAGGTCCCTCTGAGTTGGGAGTCACTCTGGAAAGCACAGCACTCTTTCGTTCCCTATGCTTTTCTTCTGGAGCAGAGGGGTGCCACAGCCGCTTTTCACTAACTAGAGTGGGGTGTCCTTTGTACCCAGGACCTGGCGTCCTGATTAGGGGAACCAAGGTTTCAGAGCCATACAGTCTTGATGGCTTATGGGCTTAGGACCTACACATGGCTCTAGGTACCTGGACAGACACTTAACCATTCCTCGTTACCCAGACTGGGACTCAAGGGGTTTAAGATTTGTGTCACTTCCTTTAAATTATTAACTATTTATTGTATCCGGAACCTGTGATTCAGCTCTCGCAACCAGACCCTGGGGATGGGTGAGAGAAAATGGGGAGGAGGGGCTGTCCCTCCCACACCCCCACCTTGTCCAGCTCTCATCACTGTCAGACCCACCAGAACTGAGGGTAGAGGGACTCTGGGGGCTGGGGCAGCCTGGGTCCCCATCCCCTCTCTGTGCCTCGGTCTCCCCCTTCCGTGGTGAGCGGGGGAAGCTCCATTCTTAACCTACCTCGTTATGGGAAGGGGAGGGATGGGGGACTAGAGTGCTGTATGGTGCTGTGAGATCTTTGGATTAAGCAGTGGGGGCTGGGGAAGGTTCCCCGGTCCCCATTTTCCAGTACCTTCTCTCCCAGGTCCCCCAGCCCCGCTCCCTGCTGATACCCACCTCTGATCCATGATTCCCTTTCATTGCCCCCATTATCTGGGGTGCATGGAGGGCTGAACCCTGGGAGCCAGGAAGACCTCAGACCCTGGAGCCCCCAGGTCAATTTTCCAGCTGCTTGCCCCTCTGGATGCTTGCCCCTCAGACTTTTGGGGGGAAGGCATGCCAACAGTTATCTTCCTGATCTTGATTCCAAGCCAGTCTGTGACCTCAGTATTGTTAGTGTCAGTGCAGGCTGAAGTGAAGGGAGGATGGGGCATGGACCCAGCCTTGTCGACGGGGGAGGGGTGGCTTGAGGTCTGCTCCAAGAAATGTCTGTGACCGTGTCTCAGCCTGGTCTTTATTTGTGTTGCTGCGCCCGGTCCCTCTGTTTGCCAGGAGTGCTGGCCCCTGCTTTTCTTTCCCTGTACACCCTTCATGCCCAAGATGACCAACTAGCTGGGATTTATATGTCCAGCCACTCGATGCTAAACATCTAATGTGTCACTGGTGGTGACGAAGATTTAAATAAAACCCTGCAGAAGGCGAGAGGGTTCTGTGGGTGTGTGCAGGGGTCAGCCGGTTACTAAGGCAGGGATGCATCTGGTTGGTTGGGAGTGAATTTAAGCGAAGGGGAATCCTGGGAGAGGATAGAAAGGTGGCAAGGCATGCTGGGCTTTGCGTGACTTTGTCTGCAGTCTGTTAACCTGAGTGAGCGAGATGGAGCGAGCCACAGGAAGGATGATCTGGATTTTCAGAGGCTGTCTGTGATTGGGTGGGGGAGGGGACAGGCTGACAAGGTTCCTGGGATCCTCCCTGTGGTGGTGCAGGTGTGATAGGGAAGGGTGAGGATAACGGATGTTTTGAAAGAGCCCAGGGGTTTAAAAGGAAAGATCTGTATTTTATGAGTGTTTGCTTATATGTGCGCCATCTGGCTACCTACTATCAGAGGCCCTGGAGCCGGAGTTGCAGCTGTGAGCCACTATGTGGTTGCTGGGACTTGAACCCAGGTCCTCTGCAAGAGCCCTAGCTGAGCCATCTCTAGCCAGCATCCATAGATTTATATATGGAGTTTGGTAGAAAGCTGGGAATTCGGCACAGTGGTAGGACACATGCTTAGCATGGGCACGCCAAAGGGAGTCAAGTTTGTTAGCCTATATATGTATGTTTTAAGATTTATTATTTATATGTATACAGTATTCTGCCTGCAGCTACACTTGCATGCCAGAAGAGGGCACCAGACTTCCCTATGATGGTTGTGAGCCGCCTTGCAGCTGTTGGCAATTGAACTCAGGACCTCTGGAAGAACAGCCCGTGCTCTGAACCTCTTTTAATTGTGTGCACGTGAGCTGGAGGTGCAGGTGGCCGTGAGCTACCCACACGGGGATTTGTGGCAGTCTTCCTGTAGGAACACATCTCTAAACCACCAGACTTGGCTTCGAAACAGCTTTATTCCTACTTGGTATTTACGTGTATGTGAGCTTGCAGGGGTGCCCGAAGATGCCAAAAGAGCATGGTAGGTCCTCGGTGCTCACGAGTCCCTGAGGTCAGTGCTGGGAACTAACCTGTGAGAGAGCAGCTGTTGTTCTTAACTGTTGGGCCTTCTCTCTAGTTCCCCTACTTGTTAGGCTATTTATGTGTTGGGTTTTTTTGAGGCAGGGTTTCTCTGAGTAGCCAATCTGTAGACGTGGTTGGCCTGGGACTCGGGGATCTCTTGCCTCTGCCTCCCGAGTGCTCCATTACCACCCGCCTTTACTTGGTATTGTTAACTGGGTGTATCAAGCCTTTTAAGCACCTCAACAGACGGAGCAGTTAAGGCTCCCGGATGTCTTTGAGAGCGAGTGCTTGAAAGGCTGGGTGTGGCACAAAGCTGCAGTCCCCGGCCTAGGGAGGCAGAGGTCTTCAGCTGGCCAGCCTGGAACACATAGGGAGACCCCGTTTTATACAGTGTATTAATGGCTGGGGTGGTGGCTCGGTGGTTAGGGGCACTCGATGCTCATGCAGAAGGCCTGAACCATTTGTAACTCCAGTTCCAGGGCGCTGCAGGCCTTCTGACTTCCATGGGCACACACGAGAGAGAGAGAGAGAGAGAGAGAGAGAGAGAGGAAACAATGACGCACATAAAATAAATTTAAAGGTATATATGATTGTCCTCGGACCCTAGTTTACACAGAGGGAGACCCAGTTGGTAGGGACATGAGCTGGTAAATGAAGTCCACCGCAGTCCTGTCTGCCTGCCTCTCCCCTCGGAAGCAGTTTTCTCAGTGGCGTCTGCCCTCTCTTTCAAAGGCCTAGGGAGGCAGAGAGGATGGCTGGCACAGGAGCCCGCTGCGATGAGGCAGGAGGGCTTAGCCGTGGTGGACGAGTGGACGCGAAGGTGTGCTGACGTCATTCTCACGCTGCGGTGGAAGAGGAAACAAGGTGCGTGGACTCTCGGGCTGGGGTGCGTTCAGAGCAAAGGTCAGCCGGGCGTTGCCACAAGCCTGTCAACCAGCAAACGGAAGGAGGAAGCAGGACCAAGAGGCCGGCCTGAGCTACGTATTACATACAGAGCGCGGCCCTGCCTCAAAAACAACGAAAAGAGAAATTTAAGTGTGTGAAAGCAGAGTGGGAAAGTAAAAACAAGTTGCTTTTTGCGTTTATGTCCCCAGCAGTAGGGACAGTCAGTCCTCCCGCGACCCGGGGGATGCTAACCCCAAGCTGTAAAATTTCCAACCCTGGACCGGTTACCTAGGGGAGCGCGTGGCGGGCTCCCCAGCCAATCGGAGCGCCCAAGCTCCTTCGCACGAGAATGTGATTGGGTGGAGGCTGGGGGGGGCGGGAGGAGGAGTCCTCGGGGCGGAGCCTGTCCCGGGCGGAAGGGGGCGCGCACCCGGGATCCCCAGGCGACGCTGCCATGGAGGGGGCCACGGTGGCCAGCGACCTGCGGACTCTGGGGTGAGGGCCTCGGCGGTGCGGCTGGGGGCACGGGGCGGGGCGCGCTCGCCTGGGGACGCGGACGCGGAGGGGCTGGCCCTGACGCGCGCCCCGCCGCAGGTACGGTGCCCTCCCGGAGGCGGCGTCTCGGGGCCCCGCGTGTGCGGACTTCAGGGAGCTGTGCGCGCGGCTGGCGGCCGAGCTGACGGCCCTGAGGGCTCTGGAGCGGCGAGAGGAGGGCGCCGCAGTGCTGGGCGCTGGCCACGGTGCGTGGGGATCCGGGTGGACGGCGGGGGTGGGGGGGTCCGCGGGACCCGCCGCGCCCTGATGGCCGCCTCCTCCCGCAGGCCCGCCGGACGCGGAGGAGGAGTTCCTGCGGCAGTTGGCCGGCCTGCTGCGGGCGTTGCACTGCCCGGATCGCGCGCTCTGCGGCGGAGACTGCGCCACGGTCCTGCGGGAGCCCGGCGGTGGCCTGCGCCTGCTGCGTGAGCCGGGGAGGCCCGGGGAGGGGGCGGGGGCGGGGGCGGGGCCTCCGAGCTGAGCCCGGGCCCCGGGGGCGCGGCCAAAGCTCTGACGCGCGTTTGAAGGCGGTAGGTAGGTGGGGTCAGACTAGGGCCGAGCTGGAATTCCGACCGAGGGGTCTCTGGAAGCTTTAGTGGGTTGAATTGGACGCTTGGGCGCCGGTGGGCGGCTCGGAAGTGGGCTCGAGGAGAGAGGCTTGCTCTGGGGCAGGGGCCAGGGTGCTCGCTGGACAGGACTCTGTCCGTGTTTTTAGGGTTTCTTTGCTCGGAGCTCCAGGCTGCTCGCCTCTTGCATCTGCGGCTCCAGTCGGATCCTAGCCCTGTGCCATCCTTTGGAGAAGGCGAAAAGGAGGGAGACGGCATGGTTCAGGAACTGATGCTAACCCTTCAAGCCCTGGGACTCCCTAGACCCCTGCGTGGAACCCTGGCTAGCCAGCTACTTCGGGAGTTTCATGACAAGGTAGAGAGGCAGGGTCCCCTCTTGAGCTACCTTACTTGCGGAGAGGTTCCTGTCTTCAAAACCAGCTCTAGAAAGGACGACCCGACGACAGGGGTGGTTTACAGCTCTGGTCACAACAGCTTGGGGAGGAAAGGGTTTGTTTTCGTTTGCAAGTTGCAGCCCATCGCTGAGGGAAACCATGGCAGGAACTCAAGCCAAGACCATGGAGAAACTTTAGTAGCACACTCCTGTTTTTTGTTTTTGTGTTTTGAGTTTTCGAGACAGGGTTTACTCAGGGTTTCTCTGAGTAGCCTTGGCTCTCCTGGACTTGCTGGGGTTAAAGGTGTGTGTCACCACCACCCGGTTCAAACACTGTATACAAGTGCTCTAGCTGCGTACACACCTCACACCAGAAGAGGGCACCAGATCTCATTATAGATGGTTGTGAGCCCCATGTGGGTGCTGGGAACTGAACTCCGCAGCCATTAACCCCTGCACCGTCTGTCCAGCCTGCGCTACCTTTTATATAGAAACTTTTTGGAAGGATGGGCCCAGGCCCATCTGCCCAGAGATGGCACTGCCCACAGAGGCCTAGGCACTCCTACATGGAATAGCAATTAAGAAAACATCTCAGCAGGCCTGCCTACAGGTCAGTCTGACAGAGAGTCCCTTTCCCCAGGCAGGTCTAGATCTGTGACAGGCTGACAAAGCCCGTTAACACTGTTGTTGCTTGAGGCCCAGGTCCGTGTGGCGGAGGGTGACTGGAGCCCCGGGGAAGGTCCACCCTGTGCCTCATTAGCGTTTGGTGATCTCTCTCCCCAGATCTCTGAGCTGCTGCCCTCCCTACCCCCAGAGTCCATGCAGCCCCTCCTTAACTCCCCACTGGATACGTCACGATGGGTAAGAGCGTGGTGTGTAGACGGCCGTGAGCAGTGTCCCCCAGAGACGGGACCCTTGGCCTGACTGACCAAGTCCTTTCCTTCCAGGAAGCCCTGGAGTCACTGTCCCAAAGCCTGACAGAGCAGTACTGCTGCCGCCGCTGCCTCCTCCTGAGGCGTCTTGACCTCACGACAGCTGCTTTCCACTGGGGCGACCGGGCAGAGGTGTGGGGACCTCAGCAGGAATAAGCAGGCCCACTGGGGAAGCACGGCTGTAGGGCAGTGGGTCAAGGGCGGGGATACGCCTTTGGGGATTCCAAGGCCCAGGCCACTTTAGATTAAAGGGGTGTGTGTGTGTGTGTGTGTGTGTGTGTGTGTGTGTCTGTGTGTGTTTGTCACACACCTTTAATCGCAGCACTCTGGAGGCAGGGGCAGGTGGATCATTGAGTTCGAGGCCAGCCTGGTCTACAAAGGGAGTCCAGGACAGCCCTGGCTACAGAGATATCCTGTCTCAAGAAAAAAAAAAAATCTCTCTCTGTTTGCCTCTGCCTCTGCCTCCCTGAATGCTGGGACTAAAGGCATGCACCGCCGCGCCCAGCTAAGATTTCATTATTTCATTTTCAGTTTTGACTATCTGTGTACGCACATCATGGGTACACAGTATCCACAGAGGCCAGAAAGGGACGTCAGAGCCCCAGGAACTGGAGGCTAGGACGGCTGTGAGCCGCCTTGTGGGTCCCGGCACTGGACAGTAGGTTCTCTGGAGGAGCAGTGAGCTCCCTAAACTGTCGAGCCGTCTCTCCATCCACACGTGACTCTTCCAAGGTTCACGACTTCTAGACAACCAGGGCTTTGAAAGCATCCCGGAACGCCCAGCTCCCAGGCGGGCGTATCCACAGAACTACTGCCCGTGTCACTAAACGGGCAGTCAGACTAACTGGATTTAGGTTGCCAAGACAAAATGCCAGAAACTGGGTAATTATAAGGAAAAAAAAAAATGAGTTCACTTTGGCCTCTGGTTTTGGAGACTGAAACACGCAAGCGTGGGCAGTTAGATCTGGCATGTCCCATCCTCTGCCGACGGTGGTTGACCTTGACTGTCACCCAGCGTCCATCTCTTACGAGGACAACCATTTCTTTCAAGATTTAACTTAGTAAGATTGTACTTGCCATGTAGCTGCGGTTGACCTCGAATCCCTGATCCTTCAGCCTCCACTTCCCCAGTGCGGAGACTCCAGTTCTGGGCCACCACGCCCAGCTTTCTACCACAGCACATCGCTTTGGAGAAAACTCCCTCCAAAGCATAGAGAGACAAGCGTGGGGCAAGCAGGGACACGCCCTCGGGCGCCTTCTCCACGTGTGCCCTTCTCCCCTCTCCAGGCCCAAGGGGAGGCCATGAAGGCAGTGCTGCTCCCGATCCGAACACTCCTGACCCCGCAATCCGGTGTCTCTGTCGCACACGTCCTGGCTGCCCGGGCCGACCTTTCCCGTCTGGTCCCGGCTACCAGCGTGGCTGCCCGCCGAGGGACCGCTTGTGCAGTCAACAAGGTGGGCGACGGGGAGGCTGGGCTCCCTTGGCCTTCAGGTGGGCCTTTCGGGGTTCCCCTGGCCCGGGGTTCTCCTTGCTTCCTGGCCTCTGGCCTCAAGCTATCCACTCTACATGGCAGAAGGGAATTTTCTATCTTTTTTTGTTTTTGTTTTTTTGGAGACAGGGTTTCTCTGTGTAGCTTTTGCTGTCCTGAAACTCCCTCTGTAGACCAGGCATCTAACTCAGAGACCCTCCTACCTTTGCCTCCTGAGTGCCGTGGTTAAAGGTGTGTACCATCACCTGGCTTTTATTTTCTTTGAGAGAGGGTCTCCTGTAGCCCAGGCTAGCCTCCCATTCACTATGCAGCCAAGAGGCTGGCCCGAACCCTCAATCTTCCTTCACTTCCCAAATGCTGGGATGATGGGGTGCCCCCCCCCACTGAAACTCGGGTCTAATCAATTCTCAGGTGCTTATGGGAGATGTGCCAGACCGAGGGGGGCGCCCCGGTGAGCTGGAGCCACCCATGCCTACCTGGAGGAGCCGAAGGGAAGATGGAGGGAGGGGGAGGGGCGGTCAGCAGCACGGGGGCCGCAGGAAGAAGAAGTAAAGGGTCCTTGAGGTCCGCTGCAGTGTCTGTCCGGAGCTGGTGCTGTTGCTCACCCTTGGGGAGTCACGGTGAGGGTTCCCCTCGGCAAGCCCCGCCTTCCCGAGGTGCCCCCCCCCACACCCACCACCCCACGCTGTGAGCCACGCTGTCTGAAAATAAATTTAATTCTTTTGATGGCTACAGGAGCTGTTTCTGGAGGGACCAATTTGGGGAGTGTGGGTTTGTGGAGGGGCCGGGGGTTTCTGGCCCCAGGAGTGGACGGGCCTTTTGCTTTTCCTGTGGTGTGGGGAAAGACATCACAGCGTCTGAGGCGTTAGAAAAACACTTCGCAGGTGCTCTCTGGTACCAACCCCGTGGGAGGCATCTGGGACACTGTGGGATAACACATACAAACATCTCTCCTTCCTGGCGAGGAGAGACAGACATTTAACAAGATAAAGGGTGAGCGTCCGCTTTGTTAGGGGACCAAAATACCACAGGGAAAAATAAAGCGGGGAGGGAAGGTGGGACCACGATTGCGTGACATCTCCAAGGCCAGGCTCAGACAAGGGGGTGTCGCTTGAGCCAAGTTCTAGAGCAGGTGAGCCACATCTGGCAAAGAACATTTCCAATAGAGGGGACGGCTAGTCACAGGCCCTGAGGTAGGAATATTTGGGGGCATGTTCTGTTCTAGGAACATAGAGGCCACACTGGGAGAGGACGAATGAGGAAAGACGTGGAAAGGGACCTTGTAACCACAGGACTGGGTTTTACCTTGAGCAAGCCACGGGAGGCCACACTGCCCACGCCAGACTCCTCCCTGCCACTGGTTAGAACTCTGTCCATCCCCACAACCTCCCAACCCAGGCCAGCAGTCCCGTGTGGTTCACTGGTTCAGTCAGTTTTAGAACAGGTATGAATCTTGCCTCCCACACCGTGGCCTTGAGGCTTAACCTTACTAAGCTTTATCGCCTTATCTGGGAAGTGGGTAGTTGGGGGGGATGACACAACTGGAGCCCAAATACATCCAACACAGAGCCGCAGACGCTGAGGAGAGGAGAAGGAATATGAGGGACAGTCAGGGCAAAAGAGCTTTTGCTAGGGGAAAGAAGATGGGTGCTTGTCAGAGGCAAGTGTTGGTATAGAGGAGGCAATCCTTAGGGGAGTGAGGGAAAGGAGTCAAGATGCTGTTCCGTCACTGGGCTTCGAGGGAGCTTTGGACAGTGAAACTGGTCCTGGGAAGAGCACCTGGAAGGAAGAAGAATACACAATGAGGAGCACTTCGTTTACCTAGCGGACGGTTCACAACCAGGGCCGATGTCTCACTCAGACTGTGGCTAAGTTAATAAACCAACTCCCACGTGAAGTCTCTGCCTTTCAGGAGTGGAAACTGTGCCAATAATATTTATTGTAGCTCTTGACATATCTGGCCTTATCTTTTAGTGGGTGCTGCCTACCCTGACCCCCGAGAGTATGTCAAGGACACCGGGGTAGGTGAGTGCCCTTGGCCTTATTCTCACTTTACCTTTTTTTGTCTAGAGACAGGGTCTCTCACGGTGTCTGTCTGATTGGGATCCTCACCACACAGGCTGGCCTTGAGGTTGTGGGTACTCTAGCCTCTTCAGTGCTAGGGTTGTAAGCTTGGGCCACTATTCCTAGCTTTATAATTTTTTTTCCCCTAAATCTTTTTTTCTGTGCTGTCCCCTGAGTATATTGAGACTGCTGTTATTTCGTGTCCACTGGACATGGTAGCACATGTCTATAGTCTCAGCACACTGAAAGTGAAGGCAAGAGGGCTGTGAGTTTGAGGCCAGCCTGGGTTACAAAGTGGCTAGCTAGGTTTTGCCAATGTAACACAAAATAGTTCCTCCGGAAAAGGGAACCTCAATTGAATTGCTTCCATCAGATTGACCTGTGGGCACCTCTGTAAGGCATTTTCTTGATTAATGATTAGTGTAGGAGGGCTTGCCCCCAGGCAAACGGTCTTGGACTGTGTCAGAAAGGAAGCTGAGGAAGCCATGGAGAGCGAGCGAGCAAGCAAGCAAGCAAGCAAGCATTCCTCCATGTTCTTCACTTCTGTTCCTGCCTCTGGGTTCCTGTCTGACTTCCTGTCCTGGCTTCCTGCAAAAATGGCCAATGATGTGGAAATGCAAATCAAACAAACCCTTCCTTCCCTAAGTTGATTTTGGTCAGTGTTTTACCACAGCAACAGAGAGTAAACCAAGACACACAGTGAGGCACCGTCTCACAAAACCGACCAGCCAAAAGAAACAAAAAACAAACAAAAACCGAACCCTTAAAAAAATTAGTGCATGTCTATATACCCTCCCGTCCAGGCGAGGATTTCTCCACGGTTTTACTTGTCTGTGATTTCTGGATCTGCTTTCCCAGACAAATGGCCTGCCTCTCCGGGATCCAGCTAGGGACTCCTTACCATCTCAGGATCCCAGGAAGAGTTCGAGGACTCTGTCTGGGTCCAAGCATGGCAGAGGCGGTGACCAGACTCGGGATCCAGGGCTAGTGTGTAGGAGAGATTTTCCTCAGAACCTGTTTGTGGTGTGACGGGTGGAAGAGATGTGGCTATGACTGGAAGGACTTCAGGATGTTAGGAACGACCCCCCCTCCTCCCACTGCTGTGCTCTGGATCTCACCACAGCGGGCAGGAGGCGCTCCTGGGGGACCCATGTCCCCCTTGGTCTCTGGCCTCTTCTTACACTCCGCTCTCACTTGATCCCTGCAGTGTCGGTGACAACACAGCCCACAGTCTGAGGTGGGGGGGGGGGGACTATTAAAATAGCGCCTCATCCGTGCGGCCTGCAGGTGGAGAAGCCCTCCCCCGAGGGGCGGCTCACTTACCCCGACATCGGTAGCCTTGCTTGGTGACACCCCAGAGCTGGGGAAAGGAAGGAGACTTGGTTAGCTGGACGGGCGGGCGGAGCGTGGGAGGGGGCGGTGGGAGCCGACAGGGTTGGAAATGTCTTAAAAGGTCTGAGAATCAACCAAAACCACAGGAACCTGGAGCTAACTCAAACGTAGGGAGCCATCGGGATGTTAGAAACGGGCAGGGGCTGTTTGTGTAGCTCCCGGTGTCTCCAGGCCCTGGGACCGCCTGGCTCCTGGGCAGCGTCAAGTGCAGGCCTAGCAGTAAAGATAGGTGAGTTCTGCGGATTTGTCTGGATTTGATGGTTGTGATGTTCCCACGATCAAGAATCTGAGGTGTGATCACACCTGCCTGTAACCGCAGGGGCTGAGGCAAGACTGGGCTACACAGTTTAATAGTGAGTGCGCGTGGTTATACTGAAGACGGAACCCAGGGCCTTGTTCACGGCAGTGAGCACTCCTTGGTCCTGTGCTATGTCTTCTGCCCAACCCCCCCCCCCAAAAAAAAAAAAAAAAAGAATTTGAAGCCAGCCTGAGCTTCATGGGATGATCCTGTCCCGAAAGGCCTAAATTTGAGGAAAACAAAAGATGTCTTTAGTTTGGAGACAAAAGTGGGCTTTGGAGGTTCAGGGTGTCACTACCAGAGACTGGCTTTTTTTTTTTTTTTTTAATGTAGCCTTGGCTGACCTGGAGCTCCGTAGGTCGGCCAGGCTGGCCTCAAACCCACAGAGCTCCACCTGCCTCTGCCTCTTAGATGCTGCCATTACAGGCGTTCGCCAGACCCAGCTAGAGACTGATGTTTAAATTCGCTTTTAAATTCGCTGTTCTCTGAAAAATAATGAGTAGCCTCTTTCCATTGTCTTTATTACTACTTGGCGCGTGGACCCAGTGTACACCCGTGTTTGCTGTCTGTGCGCCTATCTATGCCACAGTGCATGCTGACGTCAGATAACGACCTCCCGCAATCAGTTCTTCCCTTCCACCTTCATGCGCAACCTCGGGATGGAACAGGGGTTTCTGGGCTGAGCAGCAACTGCACCTGCTGAGCTGTCTTGCTGGCCTGTTTGTCTGTTTTTCTTGAGACAGGGTTTTCTGTGGCTGTCCTGGACTCGCTCTGTAGACCAGGTTGGCCTCGAACTTACAGAGATCTGCCTGCCTCTGCCTGCTGAGTGCTGAAGGCGTGTGCGGCCGCCACCACCAGGCCTGTTTTTCTGAGACAGGGTCTCTCTCAGTTTGCAGTTGCTCTAGAGCTCCCTGTATAGCTCAGGCTGGCTTCAAATTCGTGGGAATCCTCCTGCCCCAGTCCCGTGAATGCTGGAATTACAGGCACGGGCCACTAGGCCCAGGTATTGTGACTGTGTGTTCTGTTTTGGGTGTATGCGTGTGTACGGCTTATCTGCGTGTGCAACCGTACTTGAAGGTATGCTCAGAGGCAAGAGAGGGCACTGGAGCTCCTGGCCGCCCAATACGGCTGCTGGGAAGCAAACCCAGCCCCTTGGCAAGCACAGCCAGTGATGTGACGTGTTAAGCCATCTCCCTAGCCCTGCGAGTGCCCCTTCCGTTATCTGTCTATTGATTTATTTAGGCTTTCCAAGGCCGGGATTCTCTGGCTGTCCTGGAACTCGCTCTGTAGACCAGGCTGGCTCTGAACTCAGAGATCAGCCTGCCTCTGCCTCCAGAGTGCTGGGATTAAAGACAAGTGTCATCGTCATGTCCAGCTGTTTTGTTTTGTATTCACAGCTTGGCCAGATCTGGGCAGAGACGACCTGGTGTCATGTTTGTTGAGTACCCGGGATGTAGGAGTGCCAGTGTTCGGGGCTGCTGTGAACCGAGGCTGGGGCGTTTCTGGAAGTCCCCCCACCTCCCCACCCCCCACCCCAAGTTAGGCTGTGAGGAGCTGAGACAGTCCAGGGGCGGGACGGGGCGGGGCCCAAGGGTGCTAACAGGGCCGGGCGCTCACGAAGCCACTGCAGCTGTGGCAGAAGGTGGGCTTGCGGAAGGTGACCTCGTGGAAGGCGTGCAGGAAGCCCAGGCCCAGCTTGGAGCAGATGGCGCTGGCGCGGAGCAGGTACTCCATCAGCTCCTCCCTGCTGAAGGAGCCGCTCCTACAGGGCAAAGGCCGCACCTCAGCCACCCCGGCCTCTCACGCCCCGGCATCCTCGCTCCGGGAAGACCCAGGAGTCAGGAGCCCTTACCCGTGGCGGGGAGGTGGATGCAGCCCGTGGCAGGCGAAGGGGAAGTTGCCTGACAGTCGCTCGAAGTCCTCCAGGGAGATGGTGCCGCGGCCTTCTGGGTCGTAGTGCTTGAACACAGACTTTGGGGCAGGGGCAATCGGGGAGCAGAGTGAGGCCAGGGCACCCGGGCCCGGCCCCATGGGCGTGGCTCCCTCCCCACTGCCGGCGGGCACCCCTCCACCAGGCCGCGGGCCCCCTCCACCAGGCCGCGGACACCCCTCCACCAGGCCGCGGGCCCCTCACCGCCACCAGCTGTTTCACGTGCCGACCCAGGGTCGCGCTGTCTGGCTTTGGCGTCACACCGTGGGCCCACTCCACCACCAGCGGTGCTTTGTAGGGAGAGGGTGGCTAGAGGTCACAGAGGGACACGGTCGGTCAAAGCACAGACTAGAGCCGGGGCCGGGGTCAGAGGTCGGGGCTCACCAGACTCTTGGGACAGCGAGGTTCCCGGGCATAAGACAGCTCGTAGATCTCGTCTTCGGTGTAGAACAGATCCAGGGAGAGCTGGGGAGGGGGTGAGGGCAGTGAGGTTCCCTTCTCAGATCCTGCCCCACCCTCCTCTCAACTCTCTCGGACCTGTCCTGTCACACCCCTCCCCCGCCACACTGTTTTCTCTACAAGCCAAAGGCACCTTGTTCCCAAGTTCTGTGTGTATGTATGTGTCTGTGTGCATGTCTGCCGGGCATGACCGGGTGCCCACGGAGGCCGGGAGAGGCCCTGGATGCCCTGCAGCTGGCCGTCCGGGCAACTGTGCGCTACCCGAGAGCATGCGGAGCAGAAATGAGAGTCTCAGAAGCAGCAAGAGCGTCTCTCAGCAACCCCCACCCACTTTTCACCACCTAGTCCAGGCCGGCCTGGACTTCCCACCTTCCTCTCAGGCTCCCGAATGCTGAGAATTTAACAAAGAGCCCCACAGTTTTCATTTTGCACAGGGTTGGGGTCGGGATGTGCCGGCAATTGTGCGTGGTCTTGCCTCAGGGTCTGTGAGGTCAACTTTCCAGTCTCACTGGACACAACCTTCAGGGTCTCACGGTCCGAGCTTCCCACGGAGTGAGCATGGTGAAGGCGCTCAGGTCGTAGGGTCATGAAGCTGAACTGACCTGGGTTCCTTTGCATACTTCTGTGGGTCAAACCCAGGGTCTGGAACATGCTCCACTACCCTCTGGGCACTGTGAGCATGCCTGAATCACAGTGTGTGGTAGGCAGACGGAGGAGGAATGTCCCGAGGTTTGGGCTAGCCTAGTCTGTATGGTTCTAGGCCAGCAACGGCTATATGGCAAGGCCAAGTCCCAAGAAAACAAAACAAAAAGCACTCCATCACTGAATTATAGCCTCAGCTCTTGCTTGTGTGTACGTGTGTGTGTGTGTGTGTGTGTGTGTCTGTGTGTGTCTGTGTACAGGCAGGTGGGTTCACCTACCTCTACCACTGAACATCATTCCCGCCCCTTCCTGCTGCAGGGATACAAAAGCCCAAAGCACTCCAGGAGCATGGGGTAGGGCCTTGAGTGAGCAAAATCTGCTCATCCTGTTCCACACTCTGCCTCTCTGTTCTCTTTGGGACATAGGTAGCCCTGGCTAGCCCTGACTTTGCAACAGTTGTCTCATCTCCTCCTTTTGAGCGCCGGGGTTATTAAAGGTATGAGCGCCGATAGCATACTGGTTGCTTGCATTACTGATTGAATCTTCTGAGCTACACTCTGAAGTGGGCCCTGTGATTGTCCTTGTTTTGCAGGCAGATGAAACGGAGGGATGTGATCTGCCTACGTCACACAGCTAGCTGGACTCCGAGAAGCCGTGGCCTTGTGAGTTCCAAAGCTGGGCTTCCTGCTACACACCTGTGATCACTGCACGTGGAAGGCCGAAGCAAGAGGACCGATGCCTGGCTCACTTACAGGGTTCCAGACTGGCCTTCCACAGAGTACCTACAGTGTGAGAACTGACCTTAAAATAAATACTAAAGGAAAGGAAGACACTTGGACTGGGCATGGAGCACAGTGGTAGAGCCCCTGCCTGGAATCCCCCAGTGAGGGGCTGGGGTGTGGCTCAGTGGTAGAGCCCCTGCCTAGACTCCTCCAGTGAAGGGCTGGAGGTGTGG